CACTGGCGCAAGTCTTTGAGAAGGGAGACCCTGCCCTCTTTTGGAGTCTGCATCTATGGGAAAAGGCATTAGTAGTTTTGAAGTAAATGTGTGTGTATATACTACCACTGGATTAGCCTGCACAAAAATCTCGATCAAAAGATTGAGCACAAGTATAGGTCAAATATACTTAGACTTTTCTGTCAGTATAAGTATAATAGTGTGTTCACACCGAACGCGAATATAGCGTCAAATACGCGTCTATCGCGTCTAGTTAGACGCTTGAACGTTCGCTCGAGTTCAACTTGCGCGGAAGACATTCGCGGCAAACGCGTCGCCCAATTCGCGTCATTCATAACGCCCGGCGCGAATGATGCATCTATTCACGTCTTTGCATTGACTTTGTATGTAATCCATTTGCGCAAATAATTAAATTCGCGTTCGGTGTGAACACACCATAAGTGTATCAGTATATACTTAAATGCTAATAGCACACGATAGCACATACACTTAAGGCCATTGCACACTGAGTACGAAATATTCATATGCGTATTTTCGTGTTCGTCAGCCTAAAAATTCGTCACGCATAGAAACGTGGAAATGACGTCTCTCATGACATTGAAACAACGTTGATTTTGCTCATCGAATTAACGTTAAACCAACGTCAGATGCGGCATTCTTCAAAGCTAAATGAAAATCGAAAATTGGTTTGCTTTCATAACGTTGAAACAACACGTTGATTTCAAGTTGATTTTCCGTTTTTTCAGATTTTCAGTTTTGAAAGAATGACGCGTCTGACGTTGGTTCAACGTTAATTCGATGAGCAAAACAATGTCAGATCAACGTTGTTTCGATGTCATGTTTCTACGTTGATTCAATGTCAGTTTGCTATCTGGGGTTGCGTAGGCCTATTTATTAAACCTTTGCGGGGAAAAAACGCAAAAATACCAAATGGATTCGTCAAGCAGTGAGGATGATTTTTGCTCTCTCTCTTATTGAAAAGAGAAGAAAGAGAAAATATTATGTCCATCCAATCCTGAAATTGCGCCGAGAGGAAGGAGAGTTCCTTATCAAGGAGTTGCAAATTTATCCTGAGCGATTCAAAATTTACCTCAGAATGTCAGTGGGACAGTTTGATGCTTTGCTAGCGATTCTGGAGCCACATATTAAAAACAAGACTACCAATTTCCGTGAACCAATCGATTCTGAACGGAGACTGGCAGCGTGTCTATGGACCAGGTATGGACACACACACACAAACACACCCGCGGTGTGCAAGCGTGACTGACATAACGTGAGGTCGAATTTTTTTTTTAACGTGCGAAAATTTCGGATGCGAATTTCGGACTCAGTGTGCAATGGCCTTTACAGTATTTTTCGTAAGGGTTGGTGTACAGGTCCAGCTGGTTGATCATCATAGTCATTCTGTTCACCAACAAATAATAATAGTCAACCAGTGTGGCCTTATAATGAAACTGTCTGAACAAGAAAGGCTTGCTGGTAAATCTTGTTTAAAAAGCCTTGTAAGGGCACAAAATAAACCAATGTCCAAAACATAACATGTGCTGTTGACCAGCAATGCTGAGCTACTCAGGAAGGTCCTTAAAACAATTAAGATGTTTACAATTCTTCCAAAAGCCATTGAGGCATTTGTAACCAACAAAAGTCTGTTTTAGTCAATGAGATTTTCTAACCCCTAGGTATATGAAGGAGAGAGAGCCATGACTAAGGACAACAACCTACTTGGAAAATTTGAGTTGACTGGCATCCCTCCCGCTCCTCGTGGTGTGCCACAGATTGAAGTTACCTTCGACATTGACGCCAATGGCATTCTCAATGTATCCGCAGTGGACAAAAGCACTGGCAAAGAAAACAAGATCACTATTACTAATGACAAAGGTAGAATAAATTGTTCTGACCTTTGGATAAAGTGTTGACTTCAGAGAACTCTGGATTTCAAAAATGGTCTTAGTTTTTACCGTTAGTTTCCCGCTAATCTCTTCTGCTTCTATCAGGTCGTTTGAGCAAGGAAGACATTGAACGTATGGTACAAGAGGCCGACCGATACAAAGCAGAGGATGAAGCTCAGAAGGAAAAGGTCACCGCCAAGAACACTTTAGAGTCCCTGGCCTTTAACATGAAGAGCACTGTCGAGGATGAAAAGCTGCAGGACAAGATCAGTCCAGAGGACAAAAAAACTATTACTGACAAATGCAATGAGGTCATAGCCTGGCTGGACAGGAACCAGGTAGGTGACATCATTGAAACTGCAAGACTTATATGCTAATCTACAGGTCACACTTGTTTACAGGATTAAGGCTATCCCTTTCGGTTAGGATTATATAATTGAAGGATCTTTATATCATATCTCACCTTGAGGAAGTGAAATCCATTTGTGTGAGTGTTTCACACAACAAATTGACCTTTCAAACTGTGCTTAAACCTAGGTTATCATCTTTCTTAACCCCGATTTTAACCCCAAGTAGAAAAACAATATTTAGAAGCAGGGTTAACCCAGGTTATGAAACCCTGCTCTGCATTGTGGTGACAAAAGTGGACAGTGTGAAACAATGTAGTGTTAAAATGTTGTGGCGATGCTTTGCAATAGACACCCAACTGTGTGCCTCAAATGTATGTGCTTTGGAAAATACAGGAACTCTGTTGTATAAACAATAGGTTTAACTAAAAATCAAAGTGTCAAAGAAACCATGTTATTCTTACCATATTAGTCTGAAAAGTCCATTTTAAAAAATGTGATGGTAAATTCAGCAATATATAAAATGAGGTTGTGAAACGTTAATGCCTTTATTTAAACAGGTCACGTTCTGCCTTCATTGACACCGCATATAAATATGCAAATAAGAACGTTAACACAGTGTTTAGGAATGCACAGTGTAAATTGTAAATCCTGGGTAGATTATAAGCAGTGTGAAACACAAAAAAAGATAAGCCAGGATTCCATTTTTCCGCGGTGTGCGTGTGTTCAACTATTTCAAGTGTTTCCCAACCTTCTAAAGGTAAAGGAGCTTCTACTAATGAGCTGATGAGTTGAATCATGTGTGTTTAATGAGGAAATGTTAAAAAAATATGAAGATTACAACGGGGCTAAAGGCGCACCGTGGTAAAAGGCGCATTTGATGACTGTAGTCTTCTTTGAGTAAACTACAAGATTAATAGATGGCTCAAAATTTTTTTTTTTTTTTTTATGTTGTAGGTTTATAAAGCAAATGACAAATCGATACAATAATTGGCTATGTTTTGAGACCATGGTCTCATTAATGTTTTTTTTTTCAGTTTTGTTCAAAGTAATTAAAGCAACAGTTTTTAAATACTGGAATAATATGTAAAAGTATTGTATTTAGGGTTAAAAGGCGCCCCTGCTGTTGGGACGAAAGGCACAATAATTAACATGATAATAAAAAGCTGTCAGACTTTTCCATTTGTTGACATGACATTGTTATATTCAGATTGAAAATATCAAATATTCCTGTTAGAGATTAACAGATAATCACCATATTTATAATGAAACCAAGCTATATTAAATAATATGGGATCACATTCAATAGATTTAGAATATTTACTTTTTTCAATAATTTTGTTTCTGTATTTTCAAAATGTAATGACGGTATATTTATTGAACAAAACCTATTTGGTAACACGACAATAAGGTCAGTTAGTTAACATTAGTTGATTTATTAACTAACAATGAGGAATACATTTGTTCCAGTATTTATTAATCTTTGTTAATGTTAGTTAATAAAAATACAGCTGTTTGTTTGTTCATGTTAGTACACAGTTCATTTAATAATGTTAACATCTACAGCCTTTGATTTGAATACCTTAATACTAAATGTTGAAATTAATATTAACTAAGATTAATAAATGCTGAAGAAGTATTGTTCATTCTTAGTTCGTTAACTAATGTAGTTAACTAATGAACCTAATTGTAAAGTGTTACCAATTATTTTAATTATCAAAATAAACAGAAAATATTATGTGTTTTGCTAAAGTGATTGTTTTGAACAAGTATTAACTTTGATATTATTCTAAAGATATTTGTATCAATACTTTGTGCCTTTTGCCCCATGCTGGTGAGGCTTTTACCCCATGTGTGCGGTAAAAGGTACACCTTTCCACATACATTTATAAGATTTATTTTCACACAAAATCTATTGCTTCATCAATGTTCAATATGTATTTCTTTCTGCAATCACACAATATGGGAGTAGTAAAGCACATACTGTACTTCCCAAAGTGTGCCTTTAACCCTGTGAACCCAACTCTCGTGAGCATCTTCTGAGTCTTTTCTTATGTCTTGTGCCACAGACCGCAGAAAAGGATGAGTACGAACACCAACAGAAGGAGCTGGAAAAAGTGTGCAACCCCATTATCACCAAGCTCTATCAGGGCGCAGGTGGCATGCCGGGTGGAATGCCTGGGGGATTTCCTGGAGGGCCAGGAAGTGGTTCCTCCTCTGGTCCCACCATTGAGGAAGTGGACTAATGTTGACACCAGAACATCCAAGCTCACACATAAAAAAACAACTCAGAATCTGATTAATGTCAACTTGCTGCATCTCAAACAGGCTTCATGTCAACTAGCGTTTCCTTACATTGATGTGCCACATGAGACCAACTTACAGCTTATGACCAAAGCAATATGGCACTTACAAAACAGCATTAGCATAAACATAATAGCCTATGTTGGCATCATGTGTGCAAATCTGTTTTTCTGTCTGTAAGCTATTATTCAGTGGTTACTAGGTTAGTCATGCTAAAATTACAACAAAATACCTAGTTGAGGCAAGGCCTTGTAACTTGTTCGGCCGTTATACTCATTATCCATAATTATTCCACAGGGAGAGGTTTTTACACATCTGCTTTTACAATTCCTTTAGTTTTTCCTGTATGACTCAATAAAAATAAAGCATATTATTTCCTCAATATCTTGTCTCATGTTTTTGCTTTCAGAAATGCAATGTCCCTTTGTTTTTGTTTGACTGGCTCACCTATCGCCTTCAAAATAACATTGTCATTTTCCTCATGTGACAGATACAAACATTCCTGAGCTCCTCCTAACTGCATGAAAACACCTGTATGAATTGTGAAATTTAACTGATGCTGGAGTCAATATAAAGCTGGAGAGAGACCTAGCAAACAACAGCAGGACAAGGCACTTGTCAAGAACATGTTCTGGATCATTAGCTTTTTCGCTTTGGTGGCTTCCACTCAAGGTGAGTTTTTATTAGGATAAAGATCACAGATTTTATGTTTAAATATTTTTTAAATATTTTTATGAACTTTGCTTACAGGATGTGGGGTGCCTCAACTTCAGCCGTTTGGTATTGCTGACATGAGTAGGGACAACTTTCCAACTGTACTTGGGGCAATTGGTATTATTAATGGAAGGGAAGCAAACCCTTGGCCATGGCAAGTCTCTTTCCAGGTATTGTTATGTGTTTTATGTAAACAATCATTAAATTTCTTCCAAAGTAAGATGTTTTTGTGTTTTTATTAATGGACCCACTTCTAATGTCTTATAATGACCATGGGCCTCATTCTGTTCAATCGTGTACTAATGAAGATCTTTATATTTGTACCAGACTTCCAGAGGTGAGCACGTCTGTGGTGGTACCCTGATCAACAATTTTTGGGTCCTCACTGCTGCCCACTGTCTAATTAAGTAAGTATCCTATCTATGTCTCCATGTATCTATCTATCTATATACTTCCATGTCTCCATTTATCTGTCTGTCTGTCAGTCAGTCATTTATTATATCATTCTATCCAGGTATTTACATTTTGATACAAACATATTCTGCTTGTCTTTTCCTTTTCCCGCTGTCTTTTCAGGCCTAGAAATCATTTTGTTGTCCTTGGACAGACTGACCGTGGCTCCAAAAAGGAACCTATTCAGATCAAGAAAATTGCCAAGGTATCATCTTTAATATGATTATTACATTAACACAGAAGTTTTACATTTTTAAATTGCAGTAAAAACAATAAGATTGGGAAATATATTTTCAGTTTAAAATACATAAGTGTTGTGCTGCTTAAAGGAGTAGTTCACTTAAAAAAAAAAAAATGAGGATAATTTACTCACCCCCATGTCATCTAGGATGTCCATGTCATTCTTTCTTCAGTTGAAAAGAAATTAAGGTTTTTGATGAAAACATTCCAGGATTTTTCTCCATATAATGCACTTTACTGGGCACCAAATGGTTCAAGGTCCAAATGAGAGTTTCAGTGCAGCTTCGAACTTGCTTTAAACGACACCAGACGATGAATAAGGGTCTTATCTTAGCGAAACGATCTGTCATTTCAAGAATAAATAAGAAAAGTTTAAGTTTAAGCACAAATGCTCGCCTTGCTCTGTTATGTGATGAGCATTCATGACTCTCCTGTTCAAACTCGTTTATCAAAATGAACGAGTCATTTGGTTGATTCAACAAATGCAATGAACGAAATGACTCAAAGATTTGTTCATTTTGTTCAAAGATTTGTTCATTTTGATGAATGAGTTCGAACAGGAGAGTCACGAACGTGCATCACAGAACAGAGCAAGGCGAGCATTTTGTGCTCATAAACTTAAGCTTTTTTATTTATTTTTGAAATGACAGATCATTTCACTAGATAAGACCCTTATTCATCGTGTGGTGTCGTTTAAAGCCCTTTGAAGCTGCACTGAAACTGTCTTTTGGACCTTGAAGCATTTGTAAAGTGCATTACTGTATATGTAGAAAATCCTGGAATGTTTTCATCAAAATCCTTAATTTCTTTTCGACTTCAGACTTTCAGAAAGTAAGACATGGATATCTTGGATGACAGTGGGGTGAGGAAATTATCAGCAAAAGTTTTTTTTTTTAAAGTGAGTTTAAAAGTTTTTTTGTTGCATTACAAATGTCTTTACTGTAACTTATGATCAATTTAACGAGTCCTTGCTGAATACAGTTATTAATTTCTCAAAAACTTGTTACATTACAAATAAAACAGGGCTGAGTTTTTCTTCCTACATCTATAGGTCTTCACCCATCCCGATTACAACAAACAGATCAAATTTAACAATGATGTTACACTAGTGAAATTGTCCAGTCCAGTGCAAATGACGTCCCATGTCTCTCCCATCTGTCTGCCTGGCTCCTCCTCCACCATCCTCCCTGGGACTATTTGTGTCACCACTGGCTGGGGCAAAACTGAAACCGAGTGTAAGTCTGCAATTCTTCTCACCTGTACATTTTCAGTTGTGTAGAAAAAAAAACAGCAGTTGACCCTTGCTTATCCATTCAGACACTTACGGTCTCACATTAATCTTTTGCTTATAGTGACTCCTCGGTTATTGCAGGAGGCAGAGTTGCCGATAGTGAGTCAGGCTCAGTGTAGGCTAAAATTTGGTCACAAACAAATCACTGATGCCATGATCTGTGCTGGAGGCTCTGGAGTCTCATCTTGCCAGGTAGATGGATACAGTTTCACAAACATATTACAAACAAACTATTCATTTCAACATTTAAAAACACACTGTATTAATCACTGATGTCTGTCTGTTGACCACAGGGTGATTCTGGTGGTCCTCTGATGTGTGAGAGTTCGGGTGTTTGGTATCAGGTTGGCATCGTGTCCTATGGCAAAGACTACTGCGATGTTAACATTCCACAAGTTTACACCCGTGTCTCTTATTTTCGCAAATGGATTGATGCAATTGTTAAATTCAACTAGGGCACCAGCAAGAGTATTTACCCTCCAGAGGACACACAAGTCATACATTTTATCTCTTGTTGTTCACTGATTCTGGTTCTCATGTGTCTGAACATTTAGCCATTAGTCAAGGTTTCCTGTTATCAAAACATTTTTTATGATGCTATCGTTTTGAAAACTGAAAATATCTCATGACGATGCCAATTCAATTATTAAAAACACTTATGTATCCACAATGTATTTGTTTTCATCTTTTTGTAATTAATTGTATTACACTTGTAACCCAATAAATATGAAATTATTCATGGTATGTTTTGAGTAAATTTTAGAACACAATGACCAAATCTTGATCAAAAATAAGCATTAATTCTTGTATATTATAAATAAAACTTTAATTTCGTCAAGTTATTGTACAGTTTGGGATCACTAAGTTTTTTTTTTTGTTTGTTTGTTTTTCATTAAAGGATCCTGAAAACATGCATCACATTGATAATAATAAAAATGTCCCTTGAGCACTAAATCATCATATTATAATGATAGTAGTGTCACTGAAGACTGGAGTAATAATGCTGAAAATTCATTTATCACAGCATTAAACACAAGAATAAATTACATTTTTACATTTACATTTAGTCATTTAGCAGACGCTTTTATCCAAAGCGACTTACATCTGAGGACTAAATCAAACAGGTCATCGTGAAGAGGCAACAACAACACAAGAAGTCTTGAAAATACCAAGTTCAAACATTGCTCAGAAAACTACTATATTTTTTTTATATTAAGTGCTCACGGAAGAGATGAGTTTTCAGTTGACTTTTGAATGCTGTCAGGGATTCTGCATTCCGGATGATGATGGGCAGATCATTCCACCAGCATGGACCCGTGAATGAGAATGTTCTAGAGAGTGATTTTGTGGCTCTCTGTGATGGTACCACGAGCCATCGCTCATTGATCGATCGTAGGCTTCTGCTAGGGATGTAGACTCGTAGGAGCGAGTGAAAGTAAGAGGGAGCTGATCCTGTGGTCAATCTGTAAGCAAGATCAATGCCTTAAACTTGATGCGAGCAGTGAGTGGCAGCCAGTGCAGAGAGATGAACAAAGGAGTGACTTAAGTTAATCTTAGTTGATTAATAAATGCTGAAGAAGTGTTTTTAATTCTTAGTTAATGTTAACTAATGTAGATGACTAATGTGAACGTCTCGGTTACATAAGTAATCCAGTCCTCTGCGAAGGTACAGCAACATGGCGAAGGGACGACACGTCTCCGTTCCCTGTATTCAGGGAACGAGGGTTAGATACGTAACCAAGACATTCTCTTTCATCCTGAGAACTCCGACGTGTCATCGAGTTCCCTGGCGAATTGGGATCCCTAATAACACGCCATGGTGCTGGCCCCTTCCAGCGCCCAGCTAAGCTACCCTGCAGCAGTTTCTTGAAAAAGTTGCGGGAGCTAGCTAAGGAATCACACTGCTGTTCCGCAAGACCCGCTTTTTTAACACCGGGAAAGCATGCCCTAACCCGTAAAAAGGGGAAGGGAACGCTGTAGAAGCCGGCCTGCCTGAAGAAGGCCTGGAATACACACATGTACTAGCCCAGTGGGATAGTGAAAATTTGGCAGTCCCTGAGGTAGTCCCAATCCAAGGGAAGTTGAAGCGTACTCAACAGGGACGACAGAATGAGTCTGTCAAGGAGAAGACACGGCTGAACTGCATGTGGCAACATGGTTCACCGAAGAGACCGCTGGAAAACACCCAGTCTACAAGCAACTCCTACTTAGAGGTAGTAGACGCCGGCGGTCCACCACGCCTGGCACCGGAGGGGTGGTGGAGGAACTCACAAGACTCACCAAACGTAAGGCGCCAATGGAGCAAAGACGCACGTATCCGGCTGAGGCACGGAGTGGCGTAGCAAAGCCGACACAACCTATTCCCTTGCACCACTGGCCGTAGCGAGTACTCGGGAGGAAATAGGTTCTACACGTAGGCTATAGAACCTAGCGAACATGTTCGGTGTCGCCCAGCCAGCAGCTTTACAAATGTCTGTCAGCGAGGCGCCTTGAGCCAAAGCCCAGGAAGCAGCGACACCTCTAGTATAGTGAGCACACAACCTGGGAGGACAAGGCTCACGCTGATATCCGCAGACTGGGAAGAGGGGAATGGGAGTGACGCTGCTCGAAGACAGCATCCACTGCCATTCTGACCCCCTTGGGTGGAGGAAACTGAGTACCCACCAGCCCCGACACAGAGGATGACCTGCAGGAGAAGGTACAAACTGCTTTTTTATTGAAACTTTGGAGCAGGAAGAAAAGGAAACAGAAAATTCTCCGCCCGGCCCTCCCCTCGGGGGAAGGAGATGTGCAGTGGCACCCTCCTGTGGAGCAGCATCCAAGTCCTGGACCACCAAGGTAGACATCGCCCAACCCAGTGAACATGCAGTGACTTTCGTCAGCCGGAGGGCGAGGTCTGTCACCGCACGCAGCTCCTGCAGCAGAGCTGGGTCGGGACCCCCCCGCCTGCATGTTATAGAGTGCTTTAGCCCAGTCATTCCCAAAGGCGGGGTCCCGAACCACAAGTGGGTCGCAGAAGATTTTGAATGGGTCGCCAATTTTTCAGTGTGCAATATAAACTCTCTAGATCAGGGCTATTCAATTGGCGGCCTGCGGACCAAGTGCGGCCCACCATTCATCTCCATACGGCCCGAGGGCACCCCAACCTCCCTCCTACTATTTTCTGATGGTACGGCTAAATTTGGTTAGATATGCGCGTGGCCGCAGTGGCGCCTGCAGCTGGACGACTATACGCACGTATGTACCATGAGCGCTCCGACTGACCTGAGAGAAAAGTTTGCAGTCCGAATATTTCAGCAGTTCTTTCTGTCGACTGAACCAGCGATATTAATCATTCGTTGGTTTGATTATTTCATTTCCATGAATTGGCTAAACGCACGTGCATGACGGTCTGAAACGATTCGGATTCGTTCACCTGAAGCGTTTTCTCGGTCAGTAATAACAAATAGAGAACAAAACAGCGCTGGTTTCAGTTGTTTCACTAGTTTACTTTGAACTAGGCAGCACGGGCCAGTGGATAACGAAACGCAAAGCTTAAAGGAGTGGCGTTTACTCCCGGTCCCGGACACTATTATTACACAACGTTGTGACATCTAGTGAGAAGTGTTTCAATCGGACACTCCTCTCTCTTACAAACCACAAATCACTCAATGATTTCATCTAGTTTTAAATCGGATGAAACAGCCTTAACATTCCCAATAAATGTGGAATATTTATATTGAATACTACTGTATGTTATAGTCATTTATATTGCATTAGATTTATTAGGGGGGTAGAGAAATATATAATTAATTGTGTGTATAGTTTTTCACCTGTTTAGGCATTTTTTTATACAGTGAGCCATGCATGTTTACAAAGTCTCACTGTCAGGATATTTTAATTTAAGCCTATAATAATTATTATAGTAAATTGTGTACACTGTAATGATGAGAATATGAAAACAAAGAGATGCCCTGTCAACTCTTCCTTTCTCATTTCACTTCTGCATTTCGCTAATTGTCAACAATAGGTTGATAAAAAAAAACGTGCTTTGTCAAATATCTGTATCTCTTTTAAATAGTTAACTGTAAGTTTAACTGACCTTAAAGGGCACCTATTATGCCCCTTTTTACAAGATGTAATATTGGTCTCGGGTGTCCCCAGAATGTATTTGTGAAGCTTCAGCTCAAAATACCCCATAGTTAATTTATTATAACCATTTGAAAATGTCATTTTGGGGCCTGCTTAAAAATGAGCTGTTTCGGTGTATACCACCTTAAATGCAAATGAGCTGCATATCCCCGCCCTGCCTTTGGATGAGGCTAACTTACAGAACAACAACATACAGTATATGCAGTTTTTAATACAATGTCTTTAAATATATATATATATTTATAAACGTGTGGTTACACACTATACAAACAAGGTTTAAATTATATAGCCTACACAGACATCCGACGACAACAACTTTAGACGCATTTGTTGTTGAATTGGCTGACATTAACTGAAAAGACTATTTGCTCAAAAATCATAAAATACACATACTGTTAATGGATGTGACGGTGGATCACAAACAGTAGATGACGATCCACAGTTGAGGATTAATTCGGATTAATTTTTAACAACAGGATTAACCCACGACATAACATTTACGTTTCCAAGAGACATTACCGGCTGTCGTTGAAACAATGGAGGATGATGTGTACAGATCACCGAGGGCGGGGTCTATGCCACAACCACACTGTCAATCAAATCCTTTTCTCAATTCTACATCCCAAAGAGCTGAATCTTAGAACAGCTCGTTCTGATTTATTGAGATGGGTGGGTGGATTGGGTCCACTGGGATTTATCATTCTAGGGTGGTTTTGCTAACACACTGCCAACAAAAATTTATGTTCAAACACCATGTAAAAGTGTATTTTCCATAATAGGTGCCCTTTATAAAGGGTCATACATATTTTGTTAATACATACATTCTCTTTGTGATATATGAACTATATGGGCCTTATGTTTATTGGGTCACAAAGATTTATCGACTTTAAAATGTGGGTCCCCAGAAAAAAAGTTTGGGAAACACTGCTTTAGCCTGATGGACTTGAAGCAGCGTCATGGCATGCAGGGCAGAAGCGGCGTCTCCACATGCCATGTAAGCATCCCTGGTCAGACCAGAGAAAAACCTATAGGCGCAAGAGGGGAGTGAAGGGGCACCCCACCAATCGGAAGCGGTCTTTAGACACAGCTGCATCGCAACCGACCACTCCACTGGGGTGATTCCCTCGTAACCGTGTCCTGCCCTGCCATCGAGGGTGGTGAGGAAGGAGAAGCGAGGTTGTCTATGCCTGGTCGCGAGAGGGGCCAGCCAAGACTTCCTCAGATCCTCATGCACTTCCGGGAAGAATGGTACTGGAGCAGGCCGCGGGGCAACAGCACGGCCCGCTCCGAGACACGAATTATCTAGCCGCGAAGGTTCAAGACCCGGTTCTACACAAGCCCGATATTCGCGGCCGCCCGTTCGAGCATAGAAGCCATCTCTGGGTCCAGCTCAGTCGAAGCCACCACACCCGAAGGGGGTAGTCCTGCTGAGTCATCACCAGAAGATGGCCGCTCTCCCTCCAATGCCACGATCAACATCTGATCCTCAGGCGGAAGCGTCAATGGCAACGAGCAACTAGAGAAGTGAGAAGCCCGAGAGGATCTTTCACCAGACGGAACATTCTTCACTGTAATCCTCATCCACTCACCAACAGGAATCACCGAAGTAGCCGTCTACCGAACTGAACGGGCAGACAAACTAGATTGGGGATTCTCTGAAGGGACTCCCCCATGTTTCAGGGTTCTCAGTCATGAACGCAGCATCGCCAGAGTCATGTTCCCACAATGAGAACATGACTCATTCACAAACGCTGCCTCAGCTTGTGCTAAGCCCAAGCCAGAGAGGTAGTGTTTGTGATCATCTTCCTGAGGGAGAAGCCAACCATTCCACAGGGAGAGGTTTTTACACATCTGCTTTTACAAGTAATTTGTTTTAGTGTTTCATGATCCTGTATGACTTAATAAAAATAAAGCATATTATTTCCTCAATATCTTGTCTCATGTTTGCTTTCAGAAATGTAATGCCCCTTTGTTTTTGTTTGACTGGCTCACCTATCGCCTTTAAAATTACATTGTCATTTTCCTCACATGACAGATACAAATATTCCTGAGCTCCTCCTAACTGCATGTAAACACCTGTATGAATTGTGAAATTTAACTGATGCCGAAGACAATATAAAGCTGGAGAGAGACCTAGCAAACAACAGCAAGACACACAAGGCACTTGTCAACAACATGAACAACATGTTCTGGATCAGTAGCTTTTTCGCTTTGGTGGCTTCCACTCAAGGTGAGTTATTATTAGGATAAAAGGTCACAGATTTTACTTTTTTAAATGTTTATATATATATATATATATATATATATATATATATATATATATATAGGACACCTAATCAACTTTGTATTTACATTGTACTATACAAAACTAAACATACATTCTTTTGTCTTTTTATGAACTTTGCTTACAGGATGTGGAGTGCGTCAACTTCATCCGCATGCTCTTTTTGACAGGAGTATAGATGCGGAATACAAAATACATCCTATAGATGAGAACATTCCTGAAATCGAAGTCGTTGATGAGGAATACAAAATAAAACCTATAGATGAGAACATTCCTGAAATCGAAGTTGTTAATGGATGGAATGCAAACTCTTGGCCCTGGCAGGTGTCTTTCCAGGTATTGTTACATGTTCTATATACACAATCATTAAGTTTCATCCAAAGCAAGATGTTTTTGTGTTTTTATTAATGGACCCACTTCTAATTTCTTATCATATCATAATGACCATGAGCCTCATTCTGTTTTCAATCGTGTACTAATGAAGATCTTTAAATTTGTACTAGACTTCCAGAGGTGAGCACTTCTGTGGTGGTTCCCTGATCGACAATTATTGGGTCCTCACTGCTGCCCACTGTCTAATTACGTAAGTATCCTATCTATGTATCCATCTATCTATATATCCATGTCTCCGTCTATCTGTCTGTCTGTCAGTCAGTCATTTAATGTATCATTCTATCCAGCTATTTAGATTTTTATACACACGTATTCAACTTGTCCTGTTTTTCCTTTTCCCGCTGTCTTTTCAGGCCTAGAAATCATTTTGTTGTCCTTGGACAGACTGACCGTGGCTCTAATAAGGAACGTATTCAGACCAAGAACATTGCCAAGGTATCACCTTTAATATGATTATTGCATTAACACAGACGTTTTACATTTTTAAATTGCACAATACCATTTCAAAGTTAAAGTCTCTTCAAGGGTGCATGATCAAAAATGCAGTAAAAAAATAAGATTGGGAAATATCATTTCAGTTAAATAAAGTGAAATAAGTGTTGTGCTGCTTAACCATGATTTTCAGAATTATTCAATGAATAGAAAGTAAAAAAGCAGCATTTTTTTTAAATAAATGTTTTTGTTGCATTATAAATGTCTTTATACTGTGACTTCTGATAACTTAAACGTGTCCTTGCTGAATACAGTTATTAATTTCTTAAAAAACGTGTTACATTACAAATAAAACAGGGCTGACACTAGAGTTTTTCTTCCTACATCTATAGGTCTTCACCCATCCCGATTACAACAAACAGACCAAATTTAACAATGATGTTACACTAGTGAAATTGTCCAGTCCGGTGCAGATGACGTCCCGTGTCTCTCCTATCTGTCTGCCTGGCTCCTCCTCCACCATCCTCCCTGGGACTATTTGTGTCACCACTGGCTGGGGCAGAACTGAAACCGAGTGTAAGTCTGCAATTCTTCTCACCTGTACATTTTCAATTGTGTAGTAAATAAAATTAAAAAAGCAGTTGATCCTTAACAATTCAAACACTTACGGTCTCACATTAATCTTTTGCTTATAGGGACTCCTCGGTTATTGCAGGAGGCAACGTTGCCGATAGTGAGTCAGGCTCAGTGTAGGAAAGAATTTGGTCCAAATAAAATCACTGATGCCATGATCTGTGCTGGAGGCTCTGGTGTCTCCTCTTGCCAGGTATATGAATATAGATTCACAAACATATTACACACAAACTATTCATTTCAATATTTAAAAACACACTGTATTAATCTCTGATGTCTGTCTGTCAAATACAGGGTGATTCTGGTGGTCCTCTGATGTGTGAGAGTTCAGGTGTTTGGTATCAGGTTGGCATCGTGTCCTGGGGCCAAAAATTCTGCGATGTTGGCGTTCCACTAGTTTACACCCGTGTCTCTTATTTTCTCAAATGGATTGATGAAATTGTTCAATTCAACTAGGGCACCAGCATGAGTATTTACCCTCAACAGGACACACAAGTCTGTCAAACATTTTATCTCTTGTTGTTCACTGATTCTGGTTCTCATGTGTCTGAACATTCAGCCATTAGTCAAAGTTTCCAGTTATCAAAACATTTTTTATGATGCTATTGTTTTGAAAACTGAAAATACCTCATGATGATGCCAATTCAATTATTAAAAACACTTATGTATCCACAATGTATCTGTTTTCATCTTAATGTAATTAACTGATTGTATTACACTTGTTACCCAATAAATATGAAATTTATCATGGTATGCTTTTGAGTATTTTTTAGAACACAATGACCAAATCTTGAACAGGAATAAGCATTAGATCTTGTATATTATAAATACAACTTTAATTTCTCCAAGTTACTGTACAGTTTGGGATCACTAAGTTTGTTTGTTGTTTTTTTTCAGGATTAAAGGATCCTGAAAACATGCATCACATTGATAATGATAAAAATGTTCCTTGAGCACTAAATCATATTATAATGATAGTAGTGTCACTGAAGACTGGAGTAATAATGCTGAAAATTCAGCTATCACAGCATTAAACACAGGAATAAATGACTTTTTAAAATATAATAAAATAGAGAACAGTTATTTCAAACTATAATAATATTTCACAGTATTACTGTTTTTACTGCATTTGTTATAAAAACAGTATTGGTGAGAATAAGAGACAGCTGTTCATTGTTGGTGCATGTTAGTACACAGTTCATTAACTAATGTTAACAAATGCAGCCTTTGATTTTAATAACGTACTACTAAATGTTGGAATTATTATTAATTAAGATTAATAAATGCTGAAGAAGTGTTTTTTAATTCTTAGTTAATGTTAACTAATGTAGATGACTAATGTGAACGTCTCGGTTACATATGTAATCCAGTCCTCTGCGAAGGTACAGCAACATGGCGAAGGGACGACACGTCTCCGTTCCCTGTATTCAGGGAACGAGGGTTAGATACGTAACCAAGACATTCTCTTTCATCCTGAGAACTCCGACGTGTCATCGAGTTCCCTGGCGAATTGGGATCCCTAATAACATGCCATGGTGCTGGCCCCTTCCAGCGCCCAGCTAAGCTACCCTGCAGCAGTTTCTTGAAAAAATTGCGGGAGCTAGCGGAATCACACTGCTGTTCCGCAAGACCCGCTTTTTTAACACCGGGAAAGCATGCCCTAACCCGTAAAAAGGGGAAGGGAACGCTGTAGAAGCCGGCCTGCCTGAAGAAGGCCTGGAATGCACACATGTACTAGTCCAGTGGGATAGTGAGCATATGGCAGTCCCTGAGGTAGTCCCAATCCAAGGGAAGTGGAAGCGTACTCAACAGGGATGACAGAATGAGTCTGTCAAAGAGAAGACACGGCTGAACTGCATGTGGCAACATGGGTCACCGAAAAGACCACCGGAAAACACCCAGTCTACAAGCAACTCCTACTTAGAGGTAGTAGACGCCGGCGGTCCACCACGCCTGGCACCGGAGGGGTGGTGGAGGAACTCACAAGACTCACGGAGCGTAAGGCGCCAACGGAGCAAAGACGCACATATCCGGCTTAGGCACGGAGTGGCGTAGCAAAGCCGACACAACCTATTCCCTTGCACCACTGGCCGTAGCGAGTACTCGGGAGGAAATAGGTTCTACACGTAGGCTATAGAACCTAGCGAACATGTTCAGTGTCGCCCAGCCAGCAGCTTTACAAATGTCTGTCAGTGAGGCGCCTTGAGCCAAAGCCCAGGAAGCGGCGACCCCTCTAGTATAGTGAGCACACAACCTGCGAGGACAAGGCTCACGCTGATATCCGCAGACTGGGAAGAGGGGAATGGGAGTGACGCTGCTCAAAGACAGCATCCACTGCCATTCTGACCCTCTTGGGTGGAGGAAACTGAGTACCCACCAGCCCCGACACCGAGGATGACCTGAAGGAGAAGGTAGAAACTGCTTTTTTATTGAAACTTTGGAACAGGAAGAAAAGGAAACTTCTCCGCCCGGCCCTTCCCCGGGGGAAGGAGATGTGCAGAGGCACCCTCCTGTGGAGCAGCGTCCAAGTCCTCCCTCAAGCCGCCCGTCTCAGGAACGCTTCCCTCCCTTCTTCTTACGGGAAGGGGCCGGGGGAACCTGAGTGGGCTGGGCCGTCCTCTTGTGACCAGACTTCCGCCCTCCAGGGTTCGACTGCTGCCCTGAAGGAGAAGCTGGTGCCGGAGGATGCCCTCTGCGACGGGGAGCTGCCAGAGGCTCTACGGCGACAGTAGATGGGCCAGCAGCAGCCCGTTTCCTGTGCAGGACATGCCTTATTGCCTCCGACTGCTTCTGGGCGGCAGTGAACTCTTGGGCAAAGCTCTCCACCGCGTCGCCGAAGAGGCCGCCTTGGGATATGGGGAAGTTGAAAAGTTTGTTCTTCGCAACATCGCGCATATCCGCAAGGGTAGGACACAAATAGTGGTCCTGGACCACCAAGGTGGACATCGCCCAACCCAGTGAACATGCGGTGACTTTCGTCAGCCGGAGGGCGAGGTCTGTCACTGCACGCAGCTCCTGCAGCAGAGCTGGGTCGGGTCCCCCGCCTGCATGTCATAGAGTGCTTTAGCCCAGTCATTCCCAAAGGCGGGGTCCCGACCCACAAGTGGGTCGCAGAAGATTTTGAATGGGTCGCCAATTTTTCAGTGTGCCATAAGTACTCTCTAGATCAGGGCTATTCAATTGTGCGGCCCGCCATTCATCTCCATACGGCTCGAGGGCACCCCAACCTCCCTCCTCCTATTTTCTGGTGGTGCGGCTAAATTTGGTTAGATATGCGCGTGGCCGCAGTGGCGCGTGCAGCTGGACGACTATACGCACTGTGAGTGTACCATGAGCGCTCCGACTGATTCCCTTGTACCCGTGTCCCGCCCTGCCATCGAGGATGGTGAGGAAGGAGAAGCAAGGTTGTCTACGCCTGGTCGCGAGAGGGGCCAGCCAAGACTTCCTCAGCTCCTCATGCACTTCCGGAAAGAATGGTACTGGAGCAGGCCGCGAGGCAACAGAACGGCCCGCTCCGAGACACAAATTATCTAGCCGCGAAGGTTCAGGACCCGGTTCCACACAAGCCCGACATTCGCGGCCGCCCGTTCGAGCATAGCAGCCATCTCTGGGTCCGGCTCAGCTGAAGCCACCACACCTGAAGGGGGTAGTCCTGCTGAGTCATCACCAGTAGATGACCGCTCTCCCTCCAATGCCACGATCAACATCTGATCCGGGGCTAAGCCCAAGCCAGAGGTAGTGTTTGTGACCATCTTCCTGAGGTAAAAGCCGACCACATCCAGAAACGCACGTGTGAAACGACATCCTGAAAAGGACGCGAAACACCCATGATGCTCTTTTAGAAAGAAAAAAAAGTGCTCTTTCACGTGCCGAAGCACCGAGGGATTACCTCGGCAGATACACTCCCCGTGTGCTGAACTCAACCAGTACCAGCCGTAAAAACAGCTCTTTTTTTTAAAGAGGAAACTCGGCCGAAAGCGGGAACGATGATCGCTGAAGCGCCATCACACCAGCAACAAAGAGGACCATCTTCCATCAAGATGACTCGTTTTTTTATTCAGACTTCAGCAAGAAACAACAGCTCAACCAGAACACACTGTGAGGCTCTGAAGAAAAAAGCATGGCGCATACCTAGCGTGATCCCAATTCGTCAGAGAACTTCCCCGACGACACATCGGAGTTCCCAGGACGAAAGGGAACTAATGAACCTTATTGTGAAGTGTTACCAAATATTTTAATTATCAAAATAAACAGAAAATAGTATGTGCTTTTCAAAAAGTGATGGTTTTGAACAAGTATTAACTTTGATATAATTCTAATCTAAAGATATTTGTATCAATACTTTGTGCCTTTTGCCCCATGCTGGTGAGGCTTTTACCCCATGTGTGCGGTAAAAGGTACACCTTTCCACATACATTTATAAGATTTATTTTCACACAAAATCTATTGCTTCATCAATGTTCAATATGTATTTTCTTCCACAATCACACACTATGGGGGTAGTAAAGCACATACTTCCCAAGGTGTGCCTTTAACTCTGTGAACTCTCAGTGTGCCTCAATTAACAGTGTTGGGAAATGCTGTATTAAGCATCATTAAACAAAGAGCATCTTCTGAGTCTTTTCTTATGTCTTGTGCCACAGACCGCTGAAAAGGAAGAGTACGAACACAAACAGAAGGAGCTGGAAAAAGTGTGCAACCAGATCCAGGGTGTCAACATTAGTCCATGTTGAGATGACAGATGCTGGATCTGTCAACATTAGTCCAATGTTGACCAACTCAGAATCTGATTTATGTTAACTTGCTGCATCTCAAACAGGCTTCATGTCAACTAGCGTTTCCTTACATTGATGTGCCACATGAGACCAACTTACAGCTTATGACCAAAGCAATATGGCACTTACAAAACAGCATTAGCAAAAACATGTTAGCCTATGTTGGCATAATGTATGCAAATCTGTTTTTCTGTCTGTAAGCTATTAAGTGGTTACAAGGTTAGTCATGTTAAAGTTACAACAAAATACCTAGTTGAGGCAAGGCCTTGTTACTTGTTAATTTGGCCGTTATACTCATCATCCATAATTATTACACTGGGAGAGGTTTTTACACATCTGCTTTTACAATTCATTTGTTTTATTGTTTCCTGTATGACTCAATAAAAATAAAACATATTATGTCATCAATATCTTGTCTCGTGTTTGCTTTCAGAAATGTAATGCCCCTTTGTTTTTGTTTGACTGGCTCACCTATCGCCTTAAAAATTACATTGTCATTTTCCTCATATGACAGATACAAACATTCCTGAGCTCCTCCTAACTGCATGTAAACACCTGTATGAATTGTGAAATTTAACAGATGCTGGAGACAATATAAAGCTGGAGAGAGACCTAACAAACAACAGCAGGACACACAAGGCACACAACATGTTCTGGATCATTAGCTTTTTTGCTTTGGTGGCTTCCACTCAAGGTGAGTTTTGTATTTACATTGTATTATACAAAACTAAACATAATATGTTTAGTGATGGTCTTCTTATGTCTTTTTATGAACTTTGCTTACAGGATGTGGAGTGCCTCAACTTCAGCCGTTTGGTTTTGATGCCAGGAGTAAAGTTTTGGATAAAATTCCAACTATAGCTGAGGACGAAATTCCAACTATAGTTGGGGACAAAAAAACATTTATAGCTGTGGAAAACCGTCCATCTGTAATTGGGGGAAATGATGTCATAATTGGAAGGGATGCAAACCCTTGGCCCTGGCAGGTCTCTTTCCAGGTATTGTTACATGGTTTACATACACAATCATTAATTTTCATTGTTTTTATTAATGGACCCACTTCTAATTTCTTATCATATCATAATGGCCATGAGCCTCATTCTGTTTTCAATCGTGTACTAATGAAGATCTTTATATTTGTACCAGACTTCCAGAGGTGGGCACTTCTGTGGTGGTACCCTGATCAACAATTATTGGGTCCTCACTGCTGCCCACTGTCTAATTACGTAAGTATCCTATCTATATATCCATGTATCTATCTATCTATCCATGTCTCCATCTATCTGTCTATCTGTCAGTCAGTCAGTTATTATGTCATTCTATCCAGGTATTTAGATTTTGATACAAATGTATTCAACTTGTCCTGCTTTTCCTTTTCCTGCTGACTTTTCAGGCCTGGAAATCATTTTGTTGTCCTTGGACAGACTGACCGTGGCTCCAATAAGGAACGTATTCAGACCAAGAACATTGCCAAGGTATCACCTTTAATATGATTATTACATTAACACTGAAGTTTAACATTTTTAAATCCAACGCATTCTCACCCCAAGGCGTCACCTTTGACCATGCTTCAATATTTGACGTTTTAGGCGCCCTTTAGCGTCACTTACATGACGCGATCCTACGGCGTCATCTAACTGACGCTAAAGGAAAGCGTCAGTTAGAGGACGCGGTTAGGTTTAGGTGTGGGGTGGGGGTAGGGTACACGCGATCCTAGGGCGTCATCTAACTGACGCTAAAGGGCGCCTAAAGCGTCAGATATTGAAGCATGTACAAATGCTTCCCAAGGCGTCAGTTAAGTGACGCCTTGGGAGTGAGAATGGGCTGTTAAATCGCACTATCATTTCAAAGTTAAAGTCTCTTCAAGGCTGCATGATCAAAAATGCAGTAAAAACAATAAGATTGGGAAATATCATTTCAGTTTAAAATAAGTGTTGTGCTGCTTAACCATGATTTTCAGAATAATTTAATGAATAGAAAGTAATAAAGCTGCATTTTTTTAAATACAATTTTTTTTTTTGCATTATAAATGTCTTTACTGTGACTTCTAATAACTTTAACGTGTCTTTGCTGAATACAGTTATTAATTTCTTAAAAAACTTGTTACATTACAAATAAAACATGGCTGACACTAGATTTTTCTTCCTACATCTATAGGTCATCACCCATCCCGATTACAACAAACAGACCAAATTTAACAATGATGTTACACTAGTGAAATTGTCCAGTCCAGTGCAGATGACGCCCCGTGTCTCTCCTATCTGTCTGCCTGGCTCCTCCTCCACCATCCTCCCTGGGACTATTTGTGTCACCACTGGCTGGGGCAAAACTGAAACTGGAACTGAGTGTAAGTATGCAATTCTTCTCACCTGTTCATTTTCAATTGTGCAGTAAATAAAATTAAAAAAGCAGTTGATCCTTGCTTAACAATTCAGACACTTACGGTCTCACATTAATCTTTTGCTTATAGTGACTCCTCGGTTATTGCAGGAGGCAAGATTGCCGATAGTGAGTCAGGCTCAGTGTAGGCTAAAATTTAGTCCGAAACAAATCACTGATGCCATGATCTGTGCTGGAGGCTCTGGTGTCTCCTCTTGCCAGGTATATGAATACAGTTTCACAAACATATCACACACAAACTATTAATTTCAACATTTAAAAAAACAAATATTGTTAACATTGTCACTGTGTTAATCCCTGATGTCTGTCTGTCAACTACAGGGTGATTCTGGTGGTCCTCTGGTGTGTGAGAGTTCAGGTGTTTGGTATCAGGTGGGCATCGTGTCCTGGGGCAAAATAGACTGCAATGTTAACATTCCACTAGTTTACACCCGTGTCTCTTATTTTCGCAATTGGATTGATAGAATTGTTCAATTCAACTAGAGCACCAGCATGAGTATTACCCTCAACAGGACACACAAGTCTGTCATCGCTACATTTTATCTCTTGTTGTTCACTGTTTCTGGTTCTCTTGTGTCTGAAAATTCAGCCATTAGTCAAGGTTTCCTGTTATCAAAACATTTTTTTATGATGCTATTATTTTGAAAACTGAAAATACTTCATGACGATGGCCAATTCAATTATTAAAAACACGTATGTAATGTATCTGTTTTCATCTTATTGTTATTAACTAATTGTATTACACTTGTTACACAATAAATTATAAAACTATTCATGGTATGTTTTGAGTATTTTTTAGAACACAATGACCAACTCTTGAACAGAAATAAGCATTAGTTCTTGTATATTGTAAATAAAACTTTAATTTCTCCAGGTTAATGTACAGTTTGGGATCAGTAAGTTGTTGTTGTTTTTCATTAAAGGATCCTGAAAACATGCATCACATTGATAATAATAAAAATTTTCCCCAAATTTTCCCTAAAAAGGAAACTAAATCATCATATTATAATGATAGTAGTGTCACTGAAGACTGGAGTAATAAAGCTGAAAATTCAGCTATCACAGCATTAAACACAGGAATAAATTACATTTTAATATATAATAAAATAGAGAACAGTTATTTCAAACTATAATAATATTTCACAGTATTACTGTTTTTACTGTATTTATTATTAAAAACAGTATTTGTGAGAATAAGAGACAGCTGTTCATTGTTTGTTCATGTTAGTACACACTAATATTAACAAATGCAGCCTTTGATCTTAATAATGTAAATGTTGAAATTAATATTAACTAAGTGTTTGCTTGCTCCCATCTGTTTGTCTGTTATAAGCTGGCCTTGTATCTGTTTGTCTGCTGCTATTTGTATTGCATTGTGAAGCAACCTTGGGTTCTTGAAAGGCACTATAGAAAATAAACATATTATTATTATTATTATTATTATTATTATTAATAACTGACATTACAGTTTTTTCTGAATGCTTAGGCGCTAATCGTGATTCTTGTAGCACAATTTCTAAAACTATTAATACGTATGGCAAAACCACTCACTGAGTTTGCAAAACTAAAAGCACAAAAACTGCTTTGCACTCAATTTGCAATTTTGTAACACACACTTTGCAAAACTGTAGGCACAATTCACTGCACAACACTCTTTTTGCAGAACTTTAAACACAACTAGCAAAATTATACACATGTATGGCTATCATTAACACTATTTTGCCAACTGTCTGGCTCACTTTCACATGTGAAAACTGTTTTAGAAAATTAGTTAACTTTGCAATCAGCCTAAGCACTATAAATAAGTCACAGGTACGCTGTCTGTGTGGAGTACAATGGAAGGAGCAGTAAGAGTGAGAAGAGTGAGAATCAGAGGAGGCCGGGGGAGAGGACATGGAGGTGAAGAAGTTGGAGGAAAAGGACGTGGAGGTGAAGAAGTTGGAGGAAGGAGCTAGAAGAGGACAAGGAGGCAGAGGGAGAGGATGTGGAGTTGAAGAGCATACCCGATATGTCATCATATGGGACAATGTTAGTTTCCATAGGGCTGCTTTGGTCCGCAACTGGTTTACAGACCACACATTCTTCATGGCACTCAACCTCCCTCCATACTCTCCATTCTTACGTAAATCCCATTGAGGAGTTCTGGAAAGTGTACGACCGTCATCCTCATCAACAGGTAGCACTTTTACAGGCAATGGAGGAGGCATGTGGAGATATTGACCAGGCATCATGTCAGGCCTGGATAAGGCATTCAAGGAGATATTTTCCCCGGTGCCTTGGACTGGAGGATATTGCATGCGATGTGTGGACGGAATTTTGCGGCCGAACCCAGAAAGACGACATGATGTAGGCTGATTGTTTTTTTTTTGTTTTTTTTTTTTTGTTTTTTTTTTTTGCAAAATTACTCTTTTGTGTTCTGACTTTGTCTTGGTTTTTATGAGTGTGAATAAACACCAATACTTGAAGTTTGTATCCTTGTATGTTTACATGACACTATGACAAAAGTATGACCTCAAATTGACATCTGTAAACAGAGACAGCAAAAGCCAGATGTGTTTTGCATTCATACCATCAGTGTGTAGTTGGCACATTGTGTGCTTAGTAGATGATGGCTTGTGTTTACTGTTTGATACAAAAACACAATTTTTACGAAGGTGTGAAGAGTTAATCTAGCTGTGTTTGATTTTGCAAGAGAACTACAATGTTTTGATAATTGGGTGAAAGGTTTTCTTATTTGTGTGTAGAGTTTTGCAAAACTAGCCAATAGTTACAAAAAATGTGCTTAAGCAATCAGAAAAAACTGTAATAAATGCTGAAGAAATGTTCATTCTTAGTTCATGTTAACTAGTGTAGTTAACTAATGAACTTTATTGTCAAGTGTTACCAATTGTTTTAATTATCAAAGTAAACAGAAAATATTATGTGCCTTGCTAAAGTGATGGTTTTGAACAAGAATTAACTTTGATATTATTCTAAAGATATTTGTATCAATACTTTGTGCCTTTTGCCCCATACTGGTGAGGCTTTTACCTCATGTGTGCAGTAAAAGGCCCACCTTTCCACATACATTTGTAAGATTTATTTTCACACAAAATCTATTGCTCCATCAATGTGCAATGATGGAATATACATCAATTGGTGCTTTTCTCCATTTTGGAATGATTTAATTTTTAGTGGATGTCTTTTTTCCTAGCTTTTATATTAGTTATATTATGCATTATATAATATTAGCAAGGTCAAATAAATATATCATGATGCTCAAATTCAAATAAAATATATGAACTTGTTCATGATTGCCTGTTTACACACAGCGCCAATAACTTTTGAAACCCGTTGTATGTATGTGTTATGTATGTCCTGTTCTCTTCTCTATGTTGTCCTTGTAGCATGATCATGGTTACAGTACAGAACCTGTGCAGACGAAGAGTATTCCCAAGGTGTCAGCATTAAAGTGATTGACTTGTTTACTTGTTCATCAGATAAACCAGACAGGCTAGTCTGGTTTCACAGTGTTCTATTGTGGGAATCACAAAACTCATCCTGTTCAAGAAAAAAAATATATTTAAAAAATGATTTAGTGTTTTAGAATAGAGAAAAGATCTTAAATCCCTTTTTCTTTCTTGTATTTGCTGCTTGTATGGGTTTGATAAGAACTTCGAGTTACATATTTACAGGTGAAAGAATAGCGTTTCGTTGCTGCACTTGAATGCATTCAAAAAAACATTACTTTTAACAAAGGTGGGCGGCCTACCCTTTTTTCTCAAGTTGACCTATTTATTCTTGTCAATATTTCAACATATATTTCAACACATGTACGTGTACTGAACAAGATATGAACGTTCCTGAGCTCTGAGACCCTTCCAGCTGCATGGAAGCACCTTGAAGATTCCCAGTTTTATCAGATGCTAAAGAGAATATAAAGCAGGCGTCAGGCTCAATGGGAACAACAGTAAGAAATTACGTTGCATGTCTCCGTGATGTTCTGGATCATTAGCTGTTTTGCTTTGGTGGCCTCCACTCTGGGTGAGTTTCTTTTGCTGCAACTTTCAATTAGGGTGGTGCGAATCTGAAACTGGTAATTGTATCCAGTTTTAAACCTGTAATCTCTAGCCTAAAGAACAGAAAAAAAATTTCTTAGGTTCAAAATATGATGTACCATACTCAAACTAAGCTGGTTTACCCGTGATTTCATGTCTTTGCATGTATTTATTTTCCTCACCATAGGCTGTGGAGTGCCCTCCATTAAACCAGTAATTAGCGGCTACAACAAAATTGTGAATGGAGAGAATGCAGTTTCCGGTTCTTGGCCCTGGCAGGTCTCTCTCCAGGTAACTGTGACTAGTTTTAATTACGCAATTATTGTTCCAAAGCAAGAACAGGAGTGTCCAAACTCGTTCACTGTCCTGCAGAGTTTGGTTACAACTTGCCTCAACACACCTGTCGGGACGTTTCTAGTATGCCTAAGAGCTAGATGAACTGGTTTGTGTGTGTTTAATTGAAGAGTTCAGATGCAAAAGCCTCTAAATGCCATTTGAAATGTTCTTCTTTAATGATGATTTTTATCAAACTTGTATATTTAAGTTCAGTAATTTCACTTAAATAACAATTAATAGGTAATCTTCATTGCCATTTAGGTGAAATTACTGAACTTAAATATACAAGTTTGATAAAAATCATCATTAAAGAAGAAAATTTCAAATGGCATTTAGAGGCTTTTGCATCTGAACTCTTCAATTGGAGTTGGAGCTAAACTCTGCAGGACAGTGGCCCTCCAGTAGTAGAATTGGACAATGAGCAATAAGCTGATATGTATAAATGCATGATAAATGTTTTTACTGTTCATCATTCACTGAGTTATATCATGTTTATTTGTTAATGTATGAACCAGCAATCCAATGGCTTCCATTTCTGCGGAGGATCGCTGATCAACCAGTACTGGGTCCTCACTGCTGCTCACTGTCGTGTTCAGTAAGAACTTTCAAATCTGGTTATAAACATTCCCTACCTGGTTCTCTATTTTTAACCTTTCCTGTTTTTTTATTTATTTATTTATTTATTTACTTTTATCCTACCCTAGGGCTGGATATCACTATGTTATCCTTGGAGAGCATAACCGCGGCTCCAGCACTGAAGCTGTTCAAGTCATGAGGATTGCCAAGGTATCATGCTTTAATCATGCTGATAATAACCCATTACCCATCCCTTTACTTTGAGTCACTCTCTGCTGATTGCATCGCTGTGTTCTCCAATATGAGTATTACCTCAGAAACCACAGATTTTTGTCTATCTGCCATAGTTAAAACAAAAGTGTTGCTTGCTTACTTGGGGTGGGATTTTACAAATACCTGCGACAAACCGACTCTTTTGCGTTATGCCTTGCTCTTTTCTCTCTTCAGCTTGTAAAACCACAAGATTAAAGTGAGTTTTTAATTTTATTTTAATATTGTGAGTAATTGTCCCTACTATCTGATAGATATCACAAGTCTCTGACAGCCCTAGTTAGTTGTCAGTAAGAAAACTTCAGGTCGTTGTCTATTAGCTATATTTGCTAATATGTTGGGTTCTATTGTTTTGTATTAGACACTATTTTTCAAAAGTTTGAGGTCAGTATTTTAAAGAAATGAATGCTTTAATTTAACAAGGACAAATGTGACGTTTATAAAGTGACAAAAGTTTTCGGTAACACTTTACAATACAGGTGCACTAATGAGCATTAATTCATGCTTAACTAATGCACAGATAATACTGAATTAATGTGTAACTAATGATTATCTAAGCTATTCATTAATGATTACCACATTAGGAACTAATTAAGAGTCTATAAGGTTAATGTATTAGTTCATAAATGAATTGTTTTTAATTAAATATGTAATTGTGGACTAATTCCATAATAACTCATTTTTTTAACTAATAGTGTTAATTAATATGTTATTTACCAGAATGAGCCAAAGCCTTGTATTTCAACCTACAGATAATATGACAGGTACACTAATATGCATTAATACATGATTATTTACTTCATTGTTAGTGCAAATTTATGTGCAAATTACTATTGTACAATTGTACATGTACATGTACAATTACTAAATGAATAGTTAATAATGATGTGCCCCAACAAGTAAAGTCATAACATAATGATACATTTGCAAATCATTAGCTAATGATTAATTAAAGCAGACAACTGGAAGTTGAAGTGCATAGCTTTGACTAATTTACACTATTAGTTAATAAAATATGTTATTAAGGAATTAATACACAATGACACATTGAATTAATAGCAATTCATATATTACTTAATCTATTAATCATATAGACTCTTTATTAGTTGCTGATGCAGTAATCATTAATTAATGGTTTAGTTCTTCATTAGTTATGCATTAACTCATGATTATCTGTGCATTAGTTAAGCACGAATTAATGGATATTAGTGCACCCGTATTGTAAAGTGTTACCAAGATTTCTGTTTAAAATAGAATCAAATGTAATAAAAATATGAAGCAGAATTGTTTTCAACATTGATGATAATAAGAAATGCCAAGATCATCATATTAGAATAATTTCTGAAGGAACGTGACACTGAAGACTGGAGTTATGATGCTTTGCATCACAGCAATAAGTTAAAATATATTACAATAGAAATTAGTGATTTTAAATTGTTTTACTGTGTTTTTGATCAAGTAAATGCAGCCTTGATGAGCATAAGAGACTTCTTTTTTTTTAATTTTGCATGGACCCCAAACGTCTGAACGGTGTATGTATTGTATATAATACATAGTAAGTTTATGTATTGTATAATAAATAATCTATTGAGTTAATTTCTCCTCCCATTGCAGTCCATTACCCATCCTTACTACAACAGTCAGAACTTCAACAACGACATTACCCTGCTGAAACTGTCCACTCCAGCCCAGCTGACGTCCCGTATCTCTCCTGTGTGTCTGGCTGCCTCCTCCACCAGTATCCCCTCTGGCACTCGCTGCGTCACCACGGGATGGGGCAAAACTGGAACCACCTGTACATTTATCAGCAACATCACTAATGTCAAAAACAATTATTCATGACTAAAATGACTATGCTATAGTTTTCTTCTGTTTCCTTTGTTTTTACAGCAAGTCCTAATATCCTGCAGCAGACCGCGCTGCCGCTTCTGAGTCCGACCCAATGTAGGCAGTACTGGGGTCAGAGAATCACAGATGCCATGATCTGTGCTGGAGCCTCTGGGGTCTCTTCTTGTCAGGTATATGTGGACAAATACCTGAATATGTATACATACATACAGTTATTTAGTTCTGATGTGGTTATATGGGTTTGTTTGTCAACTACAGGGTGATTCTGGTGGTCCTCTGGTGTGTGAGAGCTCAGGTGTTTGGTATCAGGTGGGCATCGTGTCCTGGGGCACCAGCGACTGCAACGTTCGCACCCCAGCCGTCTACGCCCGGGTCTCTTACCTCCGCCAATGGATTGACCAGATCGTCGCCTCCAACTGAAGAACTTTTTGAAAATAATGCCAATAAAAATACTGAAAACACATTCGATGATGGGTAATGACTCAAGCAAATAAAATAAATCATTTTAAAGGTGATAAGGATTCATAAAATAAATGTGCATGGGTTTGTGTCAAAGAATGTATTAACATGATGTATTGATAGCGAAACACTCAAACAAAAACAAACACACTGTAAAAGCGCACTGTTACTAATACACAACAACATCAGGGAAATAATAAAAGATGTCTCTTGTTCTCAATAAGGCTGAATTCATTTAATATAGAATACAGTAAAACAGTAATACTGTTAAATAATTACAATTTTGAAATAACTTTTTTAGATAAATTTGCCTAAATTATCCCATTGATGGAAAAGCAGAATTGTCAGCATCACCAGTCTTCAGTGTCACATGATCCTTTAGAAATCGTTATAGCTATATTTCTTATCATTAGGTAAATATTTCTTATCATTAGGTACAATGTTGAAAACAGAGTTTTCAAAAAAGACAGTTTCATTGTAAACTGCAAACTGTTCAAAGGGCTTTAAATGATTTCAGATGATGAATAAGGGTATATAAATAAATAACAAAGTTTAAGTTTTATAAGCTCAAATGGTCGCCTTGCTCTGTTCTGTGATGCATGCTCGTGACTCTCCTGTTCGAACTCGTTCATCAAAATGAACAAATCTTTTTTCGTGTCATTTGGTTCATTCAACAAACAAAATTAACGAATTGACTCGGGTTCGAATAAGAGAGTCAAGAAAGCTGGAGAAAAATCCTGGAGTGTTTTCATCAAAAACCTTAATTTATTTTCGACTGACGAAAGAAAGACATGGACATCTTGGATGACAAGGGGGTGAGTAAATTATCAGCAATTTTTTTTTTTTTTAAAGTGAACTATTTTTAACCTTTAACATTTTTATGTTTTTAGTGCCAGTTTTTTTATTAATTTAATGTGTGCTTAAATTAAAACGCTTATTGGTTCAGCAGTGTCGTAAAAAAACAGGGCAAGAAAAAAAGACATGGTGCCCACAAATAAAAAGAAAATTTAGAATTAAGGTGAAGAATTCGGTGTGAAACCATCAGGAACATTTTAGTCTCCAGCGCCACCATTTTCCAGAAATGCAACCTACCTGGAGTCTTTTTAGATGTCAATAATTCAGTATACATTTCTGTGTATTTCAAAACTAAAACTGAATTCTGAAGTCTAAAAAAATATGGAATTGTTGATTAGTTAGCCTAATTGATAGATTGATCAATGGTGCTCATAAAATGCTACAGCTGTTTTCGAACTTATTGGTTTGATTATTTTCCGTGTTGTACTCAATTTCTTCCTTTATTTGATTTTCTCTAGTCTTAGTTGTCAGTTTTATTTGTATCTTGTTTTAATCGAGCCTTGTCTTGTGTTGGTTCCTGCCCTGCTCCCTGTGTCTCTCCTGGTTGCTGATTCTCCTGACTCTGGTGCTTCTGCAGTTGCTTCTCTCCATGCCAAGCCTCTGGTTCCTCGAGATGTTGCCTTCTCGAGGAAAACAATAGTGTCTGGATCTGTCTAGTTCACAATCAGCCTGTTCTCCAGTTGTGTGCCCTTGACCAGCCTGTTCTCCAGTTGTGTGCCCTTGACCAGCCTGTTCTCCAGTTGTGTGCCCTTGACCAGCCTGTTCTCCAGTTGTGTGCCCTTGACCAGACTATTCTCCAGTTGTGTGCCCTTGACAGCCTGTTCTCCAGTTGTGTGCCCTTGAACAGCCTGTTCTTGTGTGCCCTTGACCAGCCTGTTCTCCAGATGTGTGCCCTTGACCAGCCTGTTCTCCAGTTGTGTGCCTTTGACCAGCCTGTTCTCCAGTTGTGTGCCCTTGACCAGCCTGTTTTCCAGTTGTGTGCCCTTGACCAGCCTGTTCTCCAGTTGTGTGCCCTTGACCAGCCTGTTCTTGTGTGCCCTTGACCAGCCTGTTCTCCAGTTGTGTGCCCTTGACCAGCCTGTTCTCGAGTTGTGTGCCCTTGACCAGCCTGTTCTCCAGTTGTGTGCCCTTGACCAGCCTGTTCTCCAGTTGTGTGCCCTTGAACAGCCTATTCTCCAGTTGTGTGCCCTTGACCAGCCTGTTCTCCAGTTGTGTGCCCTTGACCAGCCTGTTCTTGTGTGCCCTTGACCAGCCTGTTCTCCAGTTGTGTGCCCTTGACCAGGCTGTTCTCGAGTTGTGTGCCCTTGACCAGCCTGTTCTCCAGTTGTGTGCCTTTGACCAGCCTGTTCTCCAGTTGTGTGCCCTTGACCAGCCTGTTTTCCAGTTGTGTGCCCTTGACCAGCCTGTTCTCCAGTTGTGTGCCCTTGACCAGCCTGTTCTTGTGTGCCCTTGACCAGCCTGTTCTCCAGTTGTGTGCCCTTGACCAGCCTGTTCTCGAGTTGTGTGCCCTTGACCAGCCTGTTCTCCAGTTGTGTGCCCTTGACCAGCCTGTTCTCCAGTTGTGTGCCCTTGAACAGCCTATTCTCCAGTTGTGTGCCCTTGACCAGCCTGTTCTCCAGTTGTGTGCCCTTGACCAGCCTGTTCTTGTGTGCCCTTGACCAGCCTGTTCTCCAGTTGTGTGCCCTTGACCAGGCTGTTCTCGAGTTGTGTGCCTTTGACCAGCCTGTTCTCCAGTTGTGTGCCCTTGACCAGCCTGTTTTCCAGTTGTGTGCCCTTGACCAGCCTGTTCTCCAGTTGTGTGCCCTTGACCAGCCTATTCTCCAGTTGTGTGCCCTTGACCAGCCTGCTCTCCAGTTGTGTGCCCTTGACCAGCCTGTTCTCCAGTTGTGTGCCCTTGACCAGCCTATTCTCCAGTTGTGTGCCCTTGACCAGCCTGTTCTTGTGTGCCCTTGACCAGCCTGTTCTCCAGTTGTGTGCCCTTGACCAGCCTGTTCTCGAGTTGTGTGCCCTTGACCAGCCTGTTCTCCAGTTGTGTGCCCTTGACCAGCCTGTTCTCCAGTTGTGTGCCCTTGAACAGCCTGTTCTCCAGTTGTGTGCCTTTGACCAGCCTGTTCTCCAGTTGTGTGCCCTTGACCAGCCTGTTTTCCAGTTGTGTGCCCTTGACCAGCCTATTCTCCAGTTGTGTGCCCTTGACCAGCCTGTTCTTGTGTGCCCTTGACCAGCCTGTTCTCCAGTTGTGTGCCCTTGACCAGCCTGTTCTCGAGTTGTGTGCCCTTGACCAGCCTGTTCTCCAGTTGTGTGCCCTTGACCAGCCTGTTCTCCAGTTGTGTGCCCTTGAACAGCCTATTCTCCAGTTGTGTGCCCTTGACCAGCCTGTTCTCCAGTTGTGTGCCCTTGACCAGCCTGTTCTCCAGTTGTGTGCCCTTGACCAGCCTGTTCTCCAGTTGTGTGCCCTTGAACAGCCCATTCTCCAGTTGTGTGCCCTTGACCAGCCTGTTCTCCAGTTGTGTGCACTTGACCAGCCTGTTCTTGTGTGCCCTTGACCAGCCTGTTCTCCAGTTGTGTGCCCTTGACCAGGCTGTTCTCGAGTTGTGTGCCCTTGACCAGCCTGTTCTTGTGTGCCCTTGACCAGCCTATTCTCCAGTTGTGTGCCCTTGACCAGCCTGTTCTCCAGTTGTGTGCCCTTGACCAGCCTGTTCTTGTGTGCCCTTGACCAGCCTGTTCTCCAGTTGTGTGCCCTTGACCAGCCTGTTCTCCAGTTGTGTGCCCTTGACCAGCCTATTCTCCAGTTGTGTGCCCTTGACCAGCCTGTTCTCCAGTTGTGTGCCCTTGACCAGCCTGTTCTCCAGTTGTGTGCCCTTGACCAGCCTGTTCTCCAGATGTGTGCCCTTGACCAGCCTATTCTCCAGATGTGTGCCCTTGACCAGCCTGTTCTCCAGTTGTGTGCCCTTGACCAGCCTGTTCTCCAGTTGTGTGCCCTTGACCAGCCTGTTCTCCAGTTGTGTGCCCTTGACCAGCCTGTTCTCCAGTTGTGTGCCCTTGACCAGCCTGTTCTCCAGATGTGTGCCCTTGACCAGCCTATTCTCCAGATGTGTGCCCTTGACCAGCCTGTTCTCCAGTTGTGTGCCCTTGACCAGCCTGTTCTCCAGTTGTGTGCCCTTGACCAGCCTGTTCTCCAGTTGTGTGCCCTTGACCAGCCTGTTCTCCAGTTGTGTGCCCTTGACCAGCCTGTTCTCCAGATGTGTGCCCTTGACCAGCCTGTTCTCCAGATGTGTGCCCTTGACCAGCCTATTCTCCAGATGTGTGCCCTTGACCAGTCTGTTCTCCAGTTGTGTGCCCTTGACCAGCCTGTTCTCCAGTTGTGTGCCCTTGACCAGCCTGTTCTCCAGTTGTGTGCCCTTGACCAGCCTGTTCTCCAGATGTGTGCCCTTGACCAGCCTATTCTCCAGATGTGTGCCCTTGACCAGCCTGTTCTCCAGTTGTGTGCCCTTGACCAGCCTATTCTCCAGTTGTGTGCCCTTGACCAGCCTTTTCTCCAGTTGTGTGCCCTTGACCAGCCTATTCTCCAGTTGTGTGCCCTTGACCAGCCTGCTCTCCAGATGTGTGCCCTTGACCAGCCTGTTCTCCAGATGTGTGCCCTTGACCAGCCTGTTCTCCAGATGTGTGCCCTTGACCGGCCTATTCTCCAGTTGTGTGCCCTTGACCAGCCTGTTCTCCAGATGTGTGCCCTTGACCAGCCTGTTCTCCAGATGTGTGCCCTTGACCAGCCTGTTCTCCAGATGTGTGCCCTTGACCAGCCTATTCTCCAGTTGAGTGCGCAAGTGTTACTATGGTTACTACCGTAGGCAAGTGAGGTACAGAATAAGATAGTAGCTAGATTGTCGGCTGAAATGGGGAATTTTCGGCCAAAAAATCCAAATTACGTTTGGGTCAAGACTGTGCCAGGTAATGACCACGAGGCTTATTGCTGTCGTGGCAAAAATCTTTTAAGCTTGCCACGATGGGTGTTATGGTCATCAGATTACAAATGAGAAAAGAACAATGAGCTGAAAACTTAAAGAGGCTACATGCGTTTCCTGAAATTTAAACTCGCGACTGACACCTGTGGCCAAAAAACAGAACTGCTCTCGCAACGCGCGC